AGGACCTTGTTTGAACTTCTGACACTAAACCTTAAATTTAGTTTTCAAAATTAACTAAAAAAATGAAATACTATTGTTCCATTTTAGTTTTTCCTTCATTTTTATTTTTAAATAATTTTTCAAATCAATGAAATACTTTTACAATATACCTTTTCAGTATGAAACAGTATTTTAAGTAAGTAAATGTGTTTTCTTATATTATTCGTCAGTAAAAATGCATCGCTCGATCTAGCTACTTCATAAACAAAGAATTGATTTTGTTTTGTATGCCCATATATTTATGTAAGTCACTTTATATTTCCTTCATGCATAATGTACAATACTTGTAAGAAAAGTATTAAACTTTCTTTCTTCTTCGCGAAAAAAAGTGCGTTCTTTCTATTAACGCATAAAACGCTATTCTAAAAACTATTTACTATAACATTTGAAGACGGTGGTGTATTTTTCATTTGAACAGAGAAAAGAATGACTATTTCCCATCTTTCCAACAATAACATTTTTCATGGCTTTAAACCAAAGAATTTCCTGTATAGTTATTTCAAAGATAAATATTCTCCCGTAACAATAAGCTTTGTATTGAATCTACTTTTATTCGTCAGTGATACATATTTGATTTTGTTGAAAGAAAATGTATAGCAAATATTTTCTTACAAAAGCTTTTGTGTTTTATTGATAGATATTTAGATGATAAAAAAGGCATTAAATAAATGTCACCACAAAAAATAATAAAGAAAATCATGAATAATAAAATAAGTTAGTAAAATCAACGTCGAATGTCGCATCACGATGTATAGATTTTTTAATTTCTTTCAGAAATAATTTCATTAAAAAGAATTTTAATCGACTTCATTCTGTTATTAATTATTACATTAAAATTATCCTTATAAAAAAAATTATATTTAACAGCTTATTACTTATTAAAAGCCTAATTAGACTGTTTATGTGTCGTTAACAAATGCTAATTAGTTATTGTTTAAGAGATAATTGTGCAAAAGACGTAAAAACATGGTTTTGAAATTTCATATTTTAATTACTTCAAATACTTAATAAAGTTGTAAAAAAAATCAAGTTTTATATGGAACGAATTATATTAAGATAAGTTTATAGCAGATACTTTAAGGTTCTTCACTTAAATTGCTCTTTTTGGTATATTGTTGAATATTCCTTCGCATTTATCACTCTTTAGCTCGAGGGAAATCTCAAAAAGGCTCTCAAACTTTACGATAATAACTTTATCCCGTTAGGAAAATACTCTTGATCCTCGATAGGTTTCAAGAAAAGTCAAATAAAATAGTTAAAGTATATATTTAATCATTTCCCTTATATATTATATATTATTATATACTTATATATGAAGAAAATTTGTACTTTAAGAAAATGGAAATTATAAATAAAAATTTGAAGAAAAAATTATGATAAAGATTTGTAACATCCCATATTGAATTGAATTGAAATATATTTATTTTTAAGGTTTGCTCTTTTCTCCATACTGTTTGATTGTTTTTAACCAAAGTTTAACTTGAGCGCATTAGATATTAAAATATTGATAATCAAGAAAATGTTTATTTATTTTAAGAAAAGTAATAAAATAATTAAATGGTATTTCTTTAATAAATGAAGGATTAACTAATATAATAACTGCTTATAGGATTTAATTTAAGCCCAACTTTACAGTATAAAGCTCCATATTTATTAAAATTCAATATTTTTTAAGAAATTAGCTGGCTTTGCTTCCTGTTTGTTCTACTTGTCAATCCACGCCACGTCAGCATTCCTCTCCCCCCTCCAAAGGTCAATATTGTTCAGAAAAAAAAATTCAAACGAAAAGTAATTTTATTAATAGTATATGTTTTTAAGCAATAAGCATTTTATATAAAAAAAAATATAACATATTTTTAATTCCTACTTTTTAATGTAATTCATGCTTCACGTGTCTCAATTTTTATATAATTTTGAATCTTGTTATAAAAAGTTATTAGACTGACGCAAGTGTCAACATTTATGAAGTGAACAATTGAAAACTCGAAAGTTTGTCATTAAACATTCAACCATTTTGCCAGTGCAGGACTCTCAACTTTGATTTGTCTCCCACTGATAATAATTTTTGTCAGATGGTTGGCTAAATGTTTGGATTTCTGATGGAACAAACTTATATTAAAATGAATACAAAAATTTCGGACGCTCATTTGACTTCAACAATTTGCCACTCTTTCATACAGAATGCTTCATTCTGCAACTAAGATAGCTTTTTTTTATGCATAATTTGTTGATTTCACAAAAAAGCCTTTATTTGACTTTATAATACTCGTAATACATTTATGCCAGTTCAGATATTACTTATCAAATTATTGCTATCAAATGCATTTTTTTCAATTAGATGAGTTAAAAAGTTTAAAAAAATGCTGCGAATTTTGGGCAATTTCATGACAACCCTATCCACTTATTTCTTTACATTCCTCTAAAATAAAGAAGAGTAAGCTAATATTAAATTCCCGAGAGATAAGTAAACTTTTCTTCACCAGTTTACAACAAGGGATACACGTCCTTATAGAAAACATAAAATAAGAATAAAATCTCGAAAAAAACTTAAAATTTCAATACCTTTCGAATATCAAAAAAAATTCGTGCTAAATTCATGCATAAAAATTGCCTACAACACGTCGAATTCCAACTCTGCCGTCATGTTTTTGCGCGGTGCAGAGCTATCAACATGATATTTTTTGCTCTTTTATTACAAGTTTAATAGTTAATAATTCTCGAACAAATTACTATGTGCTAAGGCTTCGCTTACGATGATTTTTTAATAAAGAGAGGCGTTAGTATTGCATTGTATAAAACTATATATTGTACAACTTACTTTCTTTGATATTACTTCCTATAATATACTAAATATATATATATATATATATATATAGCAAAGCAAATAAATACAAAAAACACGAG